TAATTGACTCAGTTAATTTTTCAACACTTTTTTGACACGTTGTATATACATTTGCACTCATAAATTATAATGCCCCCAATTCTTCTTTGCAAAGTTTAATTTTTTTCTGAAAAAAATTCAGCAATAAAAATAAAAATAAAAATAAAAATTCCTGGCGAATGAAAGCCCATAACAAATTTTAAAAATAATAAAATTGATTTATTCTCAATATAGTCTCGAGAAAATTGGGTAATTTTAACCTAATTAATAATAAGCTACGTTTTGGGAAAAATTGAATTTTTTTTAAACATGTGTCATTTGTAATTGTCAAAGTTAATTTGTCAACGATGAGGTTTTTTTTTGACACGTTGTACATACATTTGCACTCATAAATTATAATACCCCCCAATTCTTCTTCGCAAAGTTTAATTTTTTTCTGAAAAAAATTCAGCAATAAAAATAGAAATAAAAATAAAAATTCCTGGCGAATGAAAGCCCATAACAAATTTTAAAAATAAGAAAATTGATTTATTCTCAATATAGTCTCGAGAAAATTAGGCAATTTTAAACTAATTAATAATAAGCTACGTTTTGGGAAAAATTGAATTTTTTTTAAACATGTGTCATTTGTAATTGTCAAAGTTAATTTGTCAACGATGAGGTTTTTTTTTGACACGTTGTATATACATTTGCACTCATAAATTATAATACCCCCAATTCTTCTTCGCAAAGTTTAATTTTTTTCTGAAAAAAATTCAGCAATAAAAATAGAAATAAAAATAAAAATTCCTGGCGAATGAAAGCCCATAACAAATTTTAAAAATAAGAAAATTGATTTATTCTCAATATAGTCTCGAGAAAATTAGGCAATTTTAAACTAATTAATAATAAGCTACGTTTTGGGAAAAATTGAATTTTTTTTAAACATGTGTCATTTGTAATTGTCAAAGTTAATTTGTCAACGATGAGGTTTTTTTTGACACGTTGTACATACATTTGCACTCATAAATTATAATACCCCCAATTCTTCTTTGCAAAGTTTAATTTTTTTCTGAAAAAAATTCAGCAATAAAAATAGAAATAAAAATAAAAATTCCTGGCGAATGAAAGCCCATAACAAATTTTAAAAATAAGAAAATTGATTTATTCTCAATATAGTCTCGAGAAAATTAGGCAATTTTAAACTAATTAATAATAAGCTACGTTTTGGGAAAAATTGAATTTTTTTTAAACATGTGTCATTTGTAATTGTCAAAGTTAATTTGTCAACGATGAGGTTTTTTTTTGACACGTTGTATATACATTTGCACTCATAAATTATAATACCCCCAATTCTTCTTCGCAAAGTTTAATTTTTTTCTGAAAAAAATTCAGCAATAAAAATAGAAATAAAAATAAAAATTCCTGGCGAATGAAAGCCCATAACAAATTTTAAAAATAATAAAATTGATTTATTCTCAATATAGTCTCGAGAAAATTGGGTAATTTTAACCTAATTAATAATAAGCTACGTTTTGGGAAAAAATTAAATCTTTTTTAATATGAGTTATTTGCCACTGTAATTGTCAAAGTTAATTTTTGAACGCTGAGGTTTTTTCGACACGTTGTATATACATTTGAGCAGCATTAGATAAAACGAACAACCTTCGTTACAGCACAGGAAAATTAAAACTCATTGCGTAATCACGTATACGTAATACTCATACTCCGTAACGCTTTAAGTATTCAAATTAACCAGAATGTTGGACCGGCCTCGAGAAATTTCACGCGTCCTATCGATGGATCGCTAATCGACTGCTTTTTGTATCGAGCGATTTTTAAGAGTTCGCAATTCGTTGCGAAATAACTTTGACGTTTCGTTCGTCCAAAGTGCGTTCTCGCGTACTTTTTTTTACTTTTTCCTTTGATTTTGCTTCCGTTTTATAAACTGACGTCAAACGTGTTTGGAAAAAATTGTATACTTGGAATTCGTAAACGGAAAATAATTTTGTTTGGTATTTATCGACGATTAGAGAAATTGTAATTAAAATATTGAGCTATTAGATATTAATTATATCACTTTGCAAACAACGTGATTCGGAACGTGATGAAGTTCACATTACACAAGTGTCTCTCAACTTAAGTATTAATGTGGAAGTATTTAGATTATCTATGTTAATTTCAAATATTTCATTACGAATTTAATTTAAATCAGTGAGATTCCATTTCTATTAGAGATTTTGGGTTTTCGTGTTTTTTATAGACGTCTACTAAAAGTGTTTATATCATCTATATTAATTTTAAATATTTAATTAGTTCAAGTCATTAACGTTTAAAGTTCCGTCCATACTGAATTTTTTTTCTGGAAAATGGAGAGGATTTCGGGGGTAGGTCTAATCACCAAAAATTATTGTAATTAACCCCTGCAACTAAAAATAATTTTTTTAGATCGATTCGAAATTTTTTAATTTTGTCGAAAATTTCATTACTTCTCGAATTTTTTTCTAGAAAGTGGGTAGGATTTCGAAGGTAGGTCTAATCATCAAAAATTATTGTAATTAACCCCTGCAACCGACAATAATTTTTTCAGAACGATTTGAAATTTTTTGAGTTTGTCGAAAAATTTCACACCTTCTTGAATTTTTTTCTCGAAACTGGGTAGGATTTCAGGGGTAGGTCTATTCACCAAAAATTATTGTAATTAACCCCTGCAACTAAAAATAATTTTTTTAGATCGATTCGAAATTTTTTAATTTTGTCGAAAATTTCATTACTTCTCGAATTTTTTTCTAGAAAGGGGGTAGGATTTCGGGGGTAGGTCTAATCATCAAAAATTATTCTAATTAACCCCTGCAACCGACAATAATTTTTTTAGAACTATTTGAAAAATTTTAATTTTGTCGAAAGTTTTGGAGCCTATTCGAATTTTTTTCTCGAAATTGTGTAGGATTTCGTGTGTATGTCTATTGACCAAAAATTATTGTAATTGCCCCCCCCTACCTAGTCATAATTTTTTTAGAACGATTTGAAAAATTCTAATTTTGTCGAAAAATTTCACAACTTCTCGAATTTTTTTCTAGAAAGTGGGTAGTATTCCGGGGGTATGTCTATTCACCAAAAATGCTTGTAATTGACCCCTGTAACTAAATATAATTTTTTTAATATGATTTTGAAATTTTTTAATTTCGTCTAAAAATTTCAGCAGCTACTGTCGATGTTTCTTATAAATTCGTTTTTGATTTTTAGTAATATTATTTGACGTCCCACAGAAAAGTTGTCTAATATTGTTTCGTAGGTGCCCACGAACTCTATTTCAGAAAAAAGTTTCATTACAATATATTTACTATTGCTGGAATTATGGCTCTTTGAAAATTGGACCATTTTTATGGGGTTTTTTTAATTTTACGGGTTTAAGGAGTAACTTTTCGAATATTTTTGTAATTTCTACATATTCTTCACCAAAATACGCGTTGTTTGCCGTTTGAAACATTAAAATCCTTCAATCCGATCAGAAGTTATGATATTTTAAACATTTCCATGAAATTTCCATGAAGCATTTCTAGTTAAAAATTATATTTTCGGTAAAGAATTTTGTTCTCGAAACTGAGTAGGATTTCAAGGGTATGTCTATTCACCAAAAATACTTATAATTGACCCCTGTAACTAAATATAATTTTTTTAATATGATTTTGAAATTTTTTAATTTCGTCTAAAAATTTCAGTACCTACTCGAATTTTTTTCTCGAAACTGGGTAGGATTTCAGGGATATGTCTATTCACTAAAAATGATTGTAATTAACCCCCACAACCGAAAATAATTTTTCCAGAACGATTTAAAATTTTTTAATTTAATTGTTAATAACTTTTTAATGAAGCCTTAGTTAAGAAATTGATATTCTTCATTTTCGTCTTATTTTGGACTCTAAAATCTCCCAGGAGTGGCCTAACACCCTATATACACACCTATCCAGTGTCTCTCAATCTAAGGAATCTTGGAAATTCTTGAAAATATTTATATTATCTATATCAACTTCAAATATTTAATTACGAATTTAGTTCCAATCATTGAGAGCCCATTTCTATTAAAAATTATGGCTCTTCGTATATACACATTTATCCAGTGTCTTTCAACCTAAAGAATCTTAGAAATCTTGAATCTTGATCATCTTGAAATCCTTAAAAGTGTTTACATTACCTATATTAACTTTTAAACATTTAATTAAAAATTCAATTCCTACTATTGAGACTCCAATTTCTATCAGAAATTATAGGTCAAGTCTGGGGTTAGGTCTGACTTACATTAACTTAAAATATCTAATTAAAAATTTATTTCATATCATAGAGACTCCATTTCTATCAAAAACGATGAATTTCCATATTTTTATAGCAAATAAAATACTTGTGTAGCGTCCATTAAAAGTACTTACATTACCAATATTATCTTTAAATATTTAATTAAAAATTCAATTCCTACTATTGAGACTCCATTTCTATCAGAAATTATAGGTCAAGTCTGGGTTATGTCTGACTTACATTAACTTAAAATATTTAATAAATAAAAGTGATTATATTAGATATCTATTATTATAATATATTAGATATCATAGAGACTCCATTTCTATCAGAAACGATGCATTTCCATATTTTTATAGCAAACAAAATACTTGTATAGCGTCAATCAAAACTATTTATATTACCAATATTACCTCTAAACATTTATTTACAAATAATCGAGACTATCATAATCCACAGGTTTCTACATATTCTCCACACACGTGTTCATCCCGCGAAATTTTTACAAGTCACGTGTGCTCCAATGAACGTCCAATCCGCGTACCATGGCCAAACGAAAATCGTAACCACGGAAATTTCAAACCTCGTGTCGCATGGAACCAAAACGACACGCAGCGAGTCGAAGGTAATCGTGTACACCGCGTCTCGAGTGTCCACGCTCTCGCGCATGCAAACACATTGTCGCGGAAAGGCATTCCAGCAACAACGTCCTAGATTCATACCATTATCCGGGCGTCGTTCCAACTCACCTCAGCGAGGAGTGTCAGGAGCAGAAGAAGAGTGGCGCAAAACCTGGATATCGGCCGCGGTGAATCGATAGCCTCGCTCTTCATCCTCGACGGAATCATCGAACGAACGTTGCAAAAACAAAATCCTACGTCGACGATTCCCCGTCGTCTCCGTCCACCCTTTCACCTCTACGGCCTACTTTTTTTCACACCTCCGGCACCCGTATCTCACTTTCGGTCGCTAAGAATGCGCGCGAGGTACGCCGACTGCTTGTCTCTCGATCGATCGACGACACTGGGACTCCCTCCGCGTGCCTCGTATCACGAGAAATCACGTATCCCACCCTGGACACCTTGCAACAACACCTGTTCGACCGATTCGCGGGTACAGCGGTGTCGATAATAACAGTGGCCAGCGCGACGGAACCGCGGAGGAACATCGGTTGCCATATCACTCACTTTTCCCCCTTTTCCTGCCCTCTGCTCCACGGAATGTCGCAAAACGGCGCACGTGTTCCCACAGACACGTTCCACGATATCATCTCGAGCCTCCTCGCGGGATTACGTGCTCCCGTTTCGTCGCGTCAGCCTCCCGGGGGTTCCTCCTTCCGTCATGACTACGAGGGGTCCCCCTGTCTAGCGGAACGTCAAAACGCGTTGGATCGCTGACAAGATCACGGGCAACTCCATCGAACGCCACAGAAAACAGTCTTACGACTCCAGGTACACTTCATTCACCCAGTTCCTCTCTTCTCTCTGTGTATCCGGAATGCAACGTGATAATACTGTTACAAGAGACCAAAACACATCGTCCCCCTTCACCGATTCAATATCCTCGCGAAAGGTGCAACGTTCGTACTTTCGACTGACAGGACGCACACGCACACGCACACACTTTGTCACTTTTCACGGGTCACACCGTATTCCGTGGACGAGCCAAGGATCCTGAACACGAGAGGCTAGGCAGGATCAGCGACGGTAAATACGAGAGACTTGGTCAACTGGCGGGCTTTCATGACGCCTCTCCCCGGTGCAGGCAACGGCCAACGGGACCTCCGGCTGCTCTCTCGGGCGATCCGACTCGTGGCTTGCCGAACCAGCAGCAGCTAAATCGCTTGCCTCGTCCCTAGCCTCTCGCGCGGTTGCTCAGGCTAACCTGACTGCATTTCCATTCCATTCGCCTTCTCTTTCTCTCTCTCTCCTCATCTTCGGGACCCTGGCCGGATACCCGGCGCAGCCGCCACTACCTCCTACTTCCCCACCTTTACCACTCGTCGACTCCCACCACTTTTCGCATTCCCTGCTCCGCCGTTTCCTCGGCTAGAGTCCGCCTAATGCACGGATAGAGCCATCGGGGACATACGTGCACGTACACACCAGTAACGTACCTTGCCTCTCGGTTCCAGTGCTCTGTTTACCTACTATTAGGGGGAAAACCAGTGAGTGCGACACAGACTCTGTGAAAAGTATGAGAAGCACAGAAACGTAAAATGTAAACCTGAAAAATGGTGCTACACGGAACGTACAGTCTCTATCTGAACTCTGAACTCTGAACCCTTTCGACGTTTGTGTCTTCTTCGTATCCTACGAAGTTCAACAATCGTTATACACTAAAATAAGTGCTAACACATGTGTAAATTAAATTTCTTGTACCATTTATTTCACAATAATTTTGAATAATTTATACGAGCTGTTATCATCTAAAGTCAAGTTAAAGAGCATACAAAATCAGCCCCCTTAATTGTATCTTCCCCAAATAATAAAAATCATTTGAATATCCTGCTTTGTACACTCATTTTTGCATGAGAGAAACGTCATCGTTAGCGTGTGCCTCCCCGACTCGGGGCGGCCATCTTGTGACGTCGCTCGAGCCATGCGCAGAACCGGTGCGCACGTGTCTCGCGAAGCACGGTGACAGCCACCTCTTTTTCTTCGCGCTACGTACTCTTGCCCTCCCGCTCTTCGCCGAAGTGAGAGTTGCTAGTTAACGTCGCACGCAATCTGTTGAAGCATATTCTCGCACTTGTATCAATAGAAGTTCGTTTCTTCTTTTCCAGCCGCCATCGTAACGCGTCCCCCCCACTACGAGGCCCTCTTCCCCCGAATCCGGCAACATGAAAGTTTACTACCTGTCCAACACAATACTAGCACCGACGGTGAATCACAGAAATATTTGAACGCAAAGATATTCTTGACCTTTGTTGATTATGAAAGAAACATGTATTCTCATAGAAAGTTTATACACGTTGATTACATCCTGCAAGTGTGATAAAAATGTTTTATTAAATTGGAAAGTATTTAAGAGAGCATGAAGGGAAATAAATAAAACAATGTTATTATTAAATAATAATAATTCCAACTTAAAAATTAATTCTAATTTGCTTCTAATTGAGGTTCTCGTTGAGGTGCCCCTAGCAACAGGCAACTCGACGCTCATGTACGTAGGAACGCTGCTCATGTATATTTGTATATTCGCCCTAAAACTCAAGATTTCTGATGAGTCTTAGAAACTAGGAATGAGTGACAATTATATCTTGCACTGTAGCAGTTGGAAAAACAGATATATGTAAACAGTAGACTATAATTAAATGTTTGGAGACTTCTGTTGGTGGCAAAAGCGAATTACCGACGATCCACATATACCGGGTGACGTAACTCTGCGCACCTGTGTCCGCAGTAATCGAATTGGTCGTGTGGGCTGCGAGAGATCCGCCATTTTATGGAAGTTATTAGAACTGACGTCACCCTGCGTTTACAAACGATTAATAGAATATTTTCTAGAGCTGTTCGTTTCAATACGTACCGTTAGTTCCATTGTAACCTTATTCCACACCGAATCAATAGCATTGCATTTGAAACGAAATCACAAGGGGACACTAAAATCGCTCCCTTCTAGTTCGAGCATCTGGCGAACGCTATTGTTCGCCATCGAACAATCCACTCTATGTAGAATCAACAACTTCACAATACATTCTTGATAATTCTTTATTATTATACCATTTTTATTACACTGTAGATACAATATTTATAATAACATGTTAAATTCGAGTTATTTTGTAATGGACAAGTGGGTTTGACTAGAATCAAGAAGCCTGACATTTGGTACTCCCGTGAGTTGGGATGTGTCTGCCCAGGTAACAGAAAATAGAGTCATGACTAGCTGAAATATCACATCGAAGGATGTAGATTAATCTCTAAACAGATTTGGTGTCAGAAAAATGCTCTGTATGTATAAATGTTTTAAATTACTCTACAGGTTTCAGTGTAATGAATCTTGAGAGAATAAATGCAACTAGAAATGTCCCTGCTACGAAGCAGGCGACAAAAATATACCATGTTTCCTCGTCAAAGACATCTGTAAATGCTGGGACCTGATTGTAAAGGGTGTCGATAAGTTTAATATTATAATTCTTACTATTTGCATTATGACTCGCCATTTTGTGAACAGACTTTTGTGGTTTCTTTGAAAGGAATAGAAATGAATATTATTGCAGAAGCACGCTTCAGCTGATGCTTATTTCTTATATATATATAGATGCTTGATTTAATGTATATGCAAGTTATTAAATTGCTAATAAACTTTTAACAATACCCCTCTGTGTTTGCCTCCAATTTTACATCTGTTTTTTTCGTTTCTTTGCTCCTTTTTTTCACTTTCAATCTCAGGTTCAGTCGGTGACAAAGTGATTGTTTATAAAATTCCGAAATATTGAGAGATGTCATGTACTTTTTGAAGCCACACTATCATCTCATTCTGGAAGATAAAAATGTTATATTTATCTTTAAAAAAGATCTATTTACTGCTACAAATTTTTAATTAATTTATTTGATATAAGCTATTTTATGCATTGATTTTGGAACAATTTTACCACTTTCGTGTTTATTTAGAGGTTATGAAATATATTATTGAGGTTATGAAACATAATTTAGCAACGAACGCAACAAACTCGTTCGAATAAGTGGCACGATACTCACACAACTTGATCATGACTGTGTGTTCAGATATATCGAAAAGAATTTGCTTAAAAGGAGCAAATTTGTTGTAACTTTCGATCACAGACGAGTTGGAGGCACAAAGTATAGAACAGACCCTCCATCTTGCGTTACACTACTGAAGTATCGACCCAGTAAAAAATCAATAGTCTTCGAGCGACATCTTCGTTCGAATAACAAAACTGAACCGTCGGTAAAGTAGAACCCGTAGAAAAGTTTTTCATCCCTTTCACGGTGTCACAGACGAGGTGCCTCTGTGACAGTGTGAAAGGGTTGTTATTATTATTTTATTCGATATTTAAAGAAACATATCATTTTTTATTAATAATTATTATAACGTCTGAAGTATATTGTTGCAAGTAATACGAATGAATTCGTTTCTATTGTTTTTAATAATTAATAATTCATATCAGATTATGGTTATAGAGTATTAAAAACGATGTGGGTTCCACTTTAATCGCGAATAAGAATCACGAGTGATGTCATCAACGAGTTGGTTCTGTCGGTAGAGAATTATTACTTGCGCATACCTTTATTTGCATAATCATTTGCATAATTTTCAAACGATACCAGAACATAATTGTGCATACGCCGAGCACGTTAAATATTAATACTTTTCATTAATATTGCTTTGATATCAGGAAACATTCAGGTGTATCGGTATCGCCATAAGTAACGACTGCTACGTGGGCGACAGGAAAAAAAACTATGGCACGTACAGGAACGTATGTCGTTCAGGAAAAACGGAAAATGTTTTTAGTCGATAAAATTAAAAAAAAAAATAAATATTTCATATTACTGTTATTATTTTAATTTTAAGAGGACTCTGAGCTTTTTTCTAGCTATTATAAATTATTTATATATGTAGTCTAATAGTAATACAAATGGAAATTAGATCATCGAGACAAAATTAACAGTAAGCTTCCACTGAATCTGCGTGTGATGTCATCGTTGCAAGAAACAGAAGCAAAGTTCGATTATTTTTTTTAATATATCGTCCCTGCACGTAGGTGTAGCACGACTTCTACGAACCGGACCAGCAACGCTCACGCTGAAAAAGCGATGTCGAAACAACCGACGGGTTCACGCGACTCTCAGAGTCGTTAAACGCAAGTCACGGATTTTATTTTTTTTTTTTTGGCAAGTCTAATTCGTCTGCATTAAAAAATTTGTTCCTTTTGTAATCGTTGTGCGAATAAATCTAAACAGAATTAAATAAGTTGCGTTTTGAGGAGTTGCTAGTTCTTTGAAATTTACGTGATCGACGGATCGAGAAGTTGACTCGCGAGACTGGTCCGCGCATGCGCGCGGGCTAGTTCTGCGCACTCGCTGGCGAAACGTCAAGGGAGTCCAGTATTGGACAGGCACTCTGTGGCGTTGCGTGTGCTGGGTCCTTTCGATTTGTCGGTCGATTACGCTCGACGCGCGAAAAATCGTCGAAACGAATACGAAAACGAAAGAAATAAGCGAACCGGTGACTGTCGTTGCAACAAATATCGGATTACCCTTTCTCCCGAGGTACGTTTTCCAACTATTTCCGTGCATACCTCCGTTTGCTTAAATTAGATCGAAAATCTACGAACGCCTCGACGCTAAAGACAAATCGAACGAATATTCCTTCGAACACAAATCGCAATTATTCGCTATTAAATGCACCATTGACTCTCGATACGAGGCAATCTGAGGAAAAACGTAACCAATAACGCGAGAAATAAATCATCGCGCGCGAGTAGACGCGTGAATTCGAAATTGCGTAAAATATTATTAAACTCGAATTACTATAAACGCGACGATCTCGATGCATCGAAACACTCGCGGCTGTTTCTGAGAGACTATGAGAGAACAGTGGTCGTCGTTATATCACGTATGTGTGTCACTGGTCAACGTGTCTCGCGTTATCCCTATGCAAGTCTTCAAGTATGCAAAAAAAAAAAAAATAAAAAAAGCGAACGCTACAAATTTCAACGTTTTTCGATTAATAATTAATGAGTGGAGGATAGTGGGATTTTTAGATATTTTTTAAAGGGAAATTGTTGTCTTTGAACATTGTTTTATCCTGTTTTTTGTTGTTAAAAAAAAGTTTGGAAAATCAGAAATAATTTTAAATATTTGCAATTATTTAATAATATTGTAAAGATGTAAAGAGTATTATTTAAAAATTTGTGGAGGTAAATTTGATAAAATTTATTGATCCTATAATTGATATACTTGTAAATTAAAATTGTAAATCTATTGATAATAAATTATTCTATTTTTCTACCTGAATATAAAATTCTAGTTAATAATAGTAAAATTAAAAATTTTATAAATGTTGTATTAAAAGCTCCAATTTTATTAAAGGAATTACATTTTCAAATCCACCAATTAAAAAGGGTATTACTATTAAAAAAAAAATTATAAAAAAATCATGAGATGTAACAATTGAATTACAAATTTTTTTAATTCTAATAAATAATATATTAGATTAGAATAATTCTATATAAATAATTCTTAATGATATAGCAGAAATAAAATATAATATTCCAATATTTTTGTGACTAGTGGAATAAAATTATTTTGATATATAATTTATTAAAGGTTATAAAGTAATTATGTGGAATTTTTAGCAAAAATATACTATAATATTCCAATATTTTTGATCAGTGAAATAAAATTATTTTTAAATATATAATTTGATGAATAAAATTATTTTGAAGTTTGCAAAATAGTTGTGTGGAGTTTTATGAGCGGAACGGTTGGGAATCTGTTAAGATCGTTGAGTAGAAGATTGTTAATTATGGACACGAACGCGACACGCCATTGAACCACGCTTACTACACGTTCTTTGTTGCGAACGTAACCCAGTAAAGCAGATGATCGTTCTTGGTAGATGGGCGGAAGGTTAAATCCCACTTTCCGTCTTCGCGGACGTTTTATCCATGTAAGGTGTGCTTCAAGGACCGTACGAATCACGCTTTCTCACTAGTGCCATTCTAGTGACATTTACATTTCAAAAAAAGATGCAATTATAAAATCCTGTTCAGTCGGTTAATTATTTCTTTTTATGTTATCAAATACATGTGTCGTATAATAACGAACTCTGAACGATCCAGTCGTCACGTAAACAAGATCACTTCGAGCGCCACTGACGGTCACCGGTGACCGACACCCCAAAATAGCTTTTTTAGAAAACTTTTGAACAAAATTGCATTACTGTACACAAAATACACTATCAAACTATGGAATGCTGACGTTAAATGCAATTTAAAAACTATGGAAAATCTATTCGACAATCAACGTATGAATTTTTATAAATTAAATTATTTTGATATATAATCTATTGAAGTTTATAAAATAATTGTGTGGAGCTTTACGAACGGTAAACATGATTATTTCGAGAGAATTGCTCGATTAACACTTCGAGCGCCACTGACGGTCACCGGTGACCGACACTCTAAAATAGCTTTTTCAGAACACTTTTGAACAAAATTGCATTACTGTACACAAAATACACTATCAAACTATGGAAAGCTGACATTAAATGCAAATTAAAAAATATGGAAAATCTATTCGACACTCGACGTACGTGTTTTTATAAATTAAATAATCGGTTGAATAAAATTATTTTGATATATAATCTATTGGAGTCTATAAAATAATTGTGTGGAGTTTTATGAACGGTAAACAAGATCACTTCGAGCGCCACTGACGGTCACCGGTGACCGACGCCCCAAAATAGCTTTTTTAGAACGTTTTTGAACAAAATTGCATTACTGTACACAAAATACACTATCAAACTATGGAATGCTAACATTAAATGCAAATAAAAAACTATAGAAAATCTATTCGACACTTGGGGGATTTTTATAAATTAAATAATTGGTTGAATAAAATTAATTTGATATATAAAATAATAGTGTGGAGCTTTATGAACGGTAAACAAGATCATTTCCGAGACATTTGCTCGATTAACATTTCGAGCGCCACCGACGGTCACCGGTGACCGACACCCCAAAATAGCTTTTTCAGAACACTTTTGAACAAAATTGCATTACTATACACAAAATACACTATCAAACTATGGAATGCTAACACTAAATGCAAATAAAAAAATATTAAACAATCAGAAATGCTCCGAATCGAGAACGTCTTAAAAGTACGAATTTCAGCGAGCGAACCGGATGCAAAACGCATTAAGAAGAATATAAATAATACGCCGGGAGTCGAAGGAAAGAGGACAAACGACGAAAGCGGCCAGAAATAGTCCGCCATACCAAAAACATATCGTTCTGAATCGCATAAAACTCCCATCGCGTTGGCTGAAAATAAACGCGGATTCCCCGATTTTTCCGCGACCAACGAAAATCTCAAAAACATCGATCGATGCATAAATACAATCGTTACATCAGGTTTATCGTTGCAACTCTGATTCACCTTTCTATTTCTGTGTATGAATCGTGTATTCGTTAAACTTTGATCCAAATTGTTCCAAAAAGAGTCACCTTAATTCATTATATTCGTAAAAAATATATTCTCGAACGAATGTAGACGAAAACACGTGATGTAATTAACACGTGTTGCTAATGTCCTCCTGTCAATGGCTGATTGGTTACCTTACAATCGCGTTGGTCGTGTCGCGTTCGTGTTCGTGTTCGATCGTTTCATTGACGCGAGCTGTTCTCACGAAGGCCATTAAAACAGTCCCTGAAACTTTCTCGACTGCATTTACGATGCAAGGTAAATCAACGCGTCATCGATGATTTCTCGATTTGTTTTCGTTTCGAAATAATTTTTGTGCTCGATAATACCAGGAAACATCGAGCAAAATTGCATGGATGCAACGATTGTAAAATTGCAGGCTGACGTAATAATGGTCATTCTTTATTTCTTTATCGGCTGAGAAACGAATTACGAAGTGATTCAATAACATCGATTCTAATCTAATTGTTTCTAGTTTAAAGTTCACGTATGTTGCGAATATGCGACGAGTGTGCTCTATTTATACGAAGTTATTTGCGACGATTGATCGATTTAATAGTGAAAAAGTATGTCAAATGATAAAATGACGAGGAGGTCATCGGAGACATTTTGCGATTATAATTAAATCATAATTGAATAAAAAATATATTTTAATTCCTCTTTTGTAAGAAAATATGAAAATTGGATGAAATTTGAGTAACCCTGGGCCTTGAATTTTTTTTTTTTTATTGCATGTCTTGTGTTTGAGCAACTTAGTGGGGCACTTCGAATCGGATCAACTACGGTCATCATCATTTTCATTCGCACGATATCCTTGAACGACGGTGCACAATGTCACTACCACTGTAACACTCTGTTAACGATCTGACACGAGAAGTCATACAGCACGATTGCAATAGCGTAACACAATGCATTCTGATCCCCACGAATTTCAAAACAGTCGTATCATGAAATGAAAATGTGTGCAACAGAAATAATGTAATTTGAGGAGAAAAGAATTCTGGTTTTGAATTGTATTCGTTATAGTAATACGTTTTTACTTTATGGAATTTATCAATATTGATAAAAAAAATATTGATTTGATGATGGACCAAAAATGGAAAATGTGTGCAATAGAAATAATATAATTTTAGGAGCAAAGAATTTTTATTTAAATTGTATTCGTTATAGTAATACGTTTCTATTATATGGAATTTATTAATATTAGTAATGACGAGGTGCATGTATGTTTGATAATATTGATTATAGGAAAATATGCACAAGAAAAATAATATAATTTGAAAATCAAAGAATTTTCATTTAAATCACATTCGTTATAATAATAAATTGTTTACTATATCGAATATTGCCAAAGACACGAGGTGCATATATTTAAAATATTGATTTAATGATGGATGAATGGAAAATTGAAGAAATAATATAATTTGAAGAACAAAGAATTCTGATTTAAATTGTATTCGTTATAGTAATACGTTTCTATTATATGGAATTTATCAATATTAGTAATGACGAGGTGCATGTATGTTTGATAATATTGATTATAGGAAAATATGCACAAGAAAAATAATATAATTTGAAAATCAAAGAATTTTCATTTAAATAATATTCGTTATAATAATACGTTATTTACTATATCGAATATTGCCAAAGACACGAGGTGCATATATTTAAAATATTGATTTAATGATGGACGAATGGAAAATTGAAGAAATAATATAATTTGAAGAACAAAGAATTCTGATTTAAATTGTATTCGTTATAGTAATACGTTTCTATTATATGGAATTTATCAATATTAGTAATGACGAGGTGCATGTATGTTTGATAATATTGATTATAGGAAAATATGCACAAGAAAAATAATATAATTTGAAAATCAAAGAATTTTCATTTAAATCACATTCGTTATAATAATAAATTGTTTACTATATCGAATATTGCCAAAGACACGAGGTGCATATATTTAAAATATTGATTTAATGGTGGACGAATGGAAAATTGAAGAAATAATATAATTTGAAGAACAAAGAATTCTGATTTAAATTGTATTCGTTATAGTAATACGTTTCTATTATATGGAATTTATCAATATTAGTAATGACGAGGTGCATGTATGTTTGATAATATTGATTATAGGAAAATATGCACAAGAAAAATAGTATAATTTGAAAATCAAAGAATTTTCATTTAAATAATATTCGTTATAATAATACGTTATTTACTATATCGAATATTGCCAAAGACACGAGGTGCATATATTTAAAATATTGATTTAATGATGGATGAATGGAAAATTGAAGAAATAATATAATTTGAAGAACAAAGAATTCTGATTTAAATTGTATTCGTTATAGTAATACGTTTCTATTATATGGAATTTATCAATATTAGTAATGACGAGGTGCATGTATGTTTGATAATATTGATTATAGGAAAATATGCACAAGAAAAATAGTATAATTTGAAAATCAAAGAATTTTCATTTAAATAATATTCGTTATAGTAATACGTTATTTACTATATCGAATATTGCCAAAGACACGAGGTGCATATATTTAAAATATTGATTTAATGATGGACGAATGGAAAATTGAAGAAATAATATAATTTGAAGAACAAAGAATTCTGATTTAAATTGTATTCGTTATAGTAATACGTTTCTATTATATGGAATTTATCAATATTAATAAAGACGAGGTGCATGTATATTTGAAAATATTGATTTAATGGTGGATGAATGAAAAATTGACGAATTAATATAATTTGAAAATCGAAGAATTTAAATCACATTCGTTACAATAATACGTTATTTACTATATCGAATATCGCCGAATACACGAGTTGCATACATTTAAAACACTGATTTAAGGGGTGGATGAATGGAAACTGGAAGAAATAATATAATTTGATGAGCAAAGAATTTTCATTTAAATAATATTCGTTATAGTAGAAGTAAAAATCCAACAATATTAATATTAATGCACAGAAAACGTAGGAATATTAAATTATTTTGAAACAAGCGAAGTGTTTGTACTCGAAATAATTTATTGGACACTTTAAAAATTGACAGAACGTTTTGGAGCAAATTAGTGGAGGGTACGGGAGAGTATTTCCTCGGGAAATGCGAAACGGTTCTGTTATTCCGGCGGAGACATCGACGCGAATGGGGCAAAGGGGCCAAGGAGGCCTTCCGAGAATCGTCTGTGAAGAGACGCTCATGCACGATCACCACTAAACCTTGAAACATATACTCAGACAGTTTCTAGAATTTGTATTCCCCTAACAAGTCCGCCAGATAAAGATTTTTTGCTCAAACCAGTATGTGACTAAACTACCAAACTCTTCAAACCTGTCTACCGCCATTTTTTTCATTTTTCATTCGTACACCGTTAAAACAATATTTTTGATATGTACAACTCGTGTTTTTGGCAATATTCGATATAGTAAATGACGTATTATTGTAACGAATGTGGTTTAAATTCTTTGATTTTCAAATTATATTATTTTTTCAATTTTCTAGACCACCTTTTGATCAATCTAATCATCTTTCGATCAATCTATACATTAATATTGCACTTTTGTTTCACTATCAAAATTTCAAATCAAGCTTCAAAGCTTCAAGGTTCAAATCAAGCTACCAATCGTCCAAGACCACTTTTTGATCATTTTTTACATTGATACCATGTTTGTACTATTTACCATTCCTCAATTGTACCCTTTAGTTTCCTTACATGATCAAAACACTCGATTTTTTCTATCCAAAACAGAGAAATTTCATCCCCCATGAATAAATGAAGCTACCAATCATCGAGACCACCTTTCTAACAATCTAATCACCTTTCCATCAATCTCTACATTGATACAGTGTTTTTACTATTTATCATTCCTCAATTATACCCTTCAGTTTCCTTAAATGATCAAAACACTCGATTTTTTCCATCCAAAACAGAGAAATTTCGTTTCCTGAATGAGTCAAGCAACTGATCACCTTTCGAGGTACCCAAAAATCAAATCACACGGAATCTGCTTAGAATGGGGCCCCGTCCAACGTAGCTACAACTTATTTTAGAGTCACTTTTCCCAACCATCAGCGTAAAGAATCGAAGTAGAATAAAAAAACTCGATTTTTTCCATCCAAAACAGAGAAATTTCGTTTCCTGAATGAGTCAAGCAACTGACCACCTTTCGAGGGACCCAAAAATCAAATCACACGGAATCTGCTTAGAATAGGGCCCCGTCCAACGTAGCTACAACGTATTTTAGAGTCACTTTTCCCAACCATCGGCGTAAAGAATCGAAGTAGAATCAAAAAACTCGATTTTTTCCATCCAAAACAGAGAAATTTCGTTTCCTGAATGAATCAAGCAACTGATCACCTTTCGAGGGACCCAAAAATCAAATCACACGGAATCTGCTTAGAATGGGGCCCCTTTCAACGTAGCTACAACGTATTTTAGAGTCACTTTTCCCAACCATCGGCGTAAAGAATCAAAGTAGAATCGAGGAACGTTAAAGCAGAAATAAATCTCTTGTTTGTTGGTTTCTATCGCGAACCACGGGGCATTGCGGGCGCCCACTTAATTCGAAATGCCACTGCTCTAACCCACAACTTACTTCTGTACCGGCGATAAACCGGCTTCAGGTATTCACCGCGAAAGTTCCTGCACCGCGCCTCTAGATCCAGTTCTCCCGATCTCCTCGAATCCGCCATATTTATAAACGTTCGGGTTCTATAAATAGGACCACTGTTACGTTCCGATATCCGGACGAGTTGTAATAACAGGACTCTCGAGTAAAAGTTTTTTTGGGGGCGACGGGAGTAACTCCGGTTCCGCGAAACGTTCGTCAAACCATTCGCGAGCATGAAAGATTACGTAAGTGTGCATTGTGGCCAAATCAGATTTGGCTCACTTCGATCACTATACAGATTAACGCATTGTAAACTAATTAAAAAAACAACCCTTGCGTCGTATTGGAAAGAATGTTCGAAGTTTTTGTTGCATTTGAATCTTCAAATCACACTGATCGAGCTCATTAGACATTTTTGAATTAAAAAAATTAAATTTGGAATTAGTCGATTCATAATATTTGCATATACGTTAAAATTTATGAATTATATAATATTGAAATAAATATTAAAATTTATGAATTATATAATATTGAAATAAAATATTAAAATTTATGAATTATATAATATTGAAATATACATTAAAATTTATGAATTATATAATATTTAAATAAATATTAAAATTTATGAATTATATAATATTTAAATATACATTAAAATTTATGAATAAATAATATTGAAATATATATTAAAATTTATGAATTATATAATATTGAAATATATATTAAAATTTATGAATTATAGAATATTGAAATATACATTAAAATTTATGAATTATAGAATATTGAAATATATATTAAAATTTATGAATTATATATTAAAATTTATGAATTATATAATATTTAAATAAATATTAAAATTGATGAATTATTATACTCTGAGTATTATGAGTACTATTGATATAGATTTGTAGTGTAATTGATCCGAGTGTTAAGAGTTTTAGAAATTAGAGAATCGAGCTGACCGGACGTGTTTACGCTTTGGAAACGTTTTGGTCGACGAATTCGCGATCGAATCGACGTGTGATTTTCTCGAATTGCTTGTCAGGTTTCGCGAGACAGGGAACGCTAAGAGGAGCGCAATGTCAGCGGCGGTGAGGGAGAGAACGACAGCACACACCAGCAGAAAGATCGTGAGTCATGGCGTTTCTATATCTGGCCAGAGCCAGCCAGCGACCACGGCCAACAGCCTCGAAAACAACTTAGGTAAACCTTTAAATGTGCCACCGGAGGTGTAACCCTATCCTTGGGCCATTCTTTTTGTTTCCACCTACGCTTCTAATTTGAAAGCTTCGATTTTCATTGAAATTGTACTAGAATTATACTGGGTACAATTAGAGCGTTCCTAATATCACATGTGTATTGGGATGGTGATTTAGAGGGAATTAGAGGCACTGTTGAGTAGCTCATATTGTATGATAAATCATAATTGGGCCTCTAGATGGAATAAGATTCAATATTTCAAATATCATATGTGTATTATGATAGTAATTTAGAGGGAATTAGAGTCATTGTTGAGAGGATCATATTGTATGATAAATCATAATTGGGCCTCTAGATGGAATAAGATTCAATATTTCAAATATCATATGTGTAGTATGATAGTAATTTAGAGGGAATTATAGTTACCCTCAGTTATGGCTCATATTATATTAACTCGTAATTACTCATCTAGTTTTAATAATATTCAAAATTTTAAATACCACATGTGTATTATGATAGTAATTTAAAGGGAATAATAATCATCATTGAGTAGCTGATATTATGATAGTAATTTAGAGGGAATTAGAGTCATCATTGAGTAGCTCATATTATATGTTAAATTATAGTTGGTCCTCTAGTTGCAATAATATTCAACATTCCAAATATCACATGTGTATTATGATAGTAATTTAGAGGGAATAATATAGGCATCATTGAGTAGCTCATATTATATGATAAATTATAATTGCGCCTCTAGTTGCAATACCAGTCAATATTTCAAATATCACATGTGTATTATGATAGCAATTTAGAGGGAATTAGAGTCATCATTGAGTAGCTCATATTATATGTTAAACTATAGTTGGTCCTCTAGTTGCAATAATATTCAACATTCCAAATATCACATGTGTATTATGATAGTAATTTAGAAAGAATTATAGTCATCCTCAGTTATGGCTCATATTTTATTAGCTCATAATTATTCCTCTAGTTACAATAATATTCAAGATTTCAAATATCATATGTGTATTATGATAGCAATTTAGAGGGAATAATATAGTCATTATTGAGTAGCTCATATTATATGATAAATTATAATTGCGCCTCTAGTTGCAATAGCAGTCAATATTTCAAATATCACATGTGTATTATGATAGCAATTTAGAGGGAATTAGAGTCATCATTGAGTAGCTCATATTATATGTTAAACTATAGTTGGTCCTCTAGTTGCAATAGCATTCAATATTCCAAATATCACATGTGTATTATGATAGTAATTTAGAAAAAATTAGAGTTACTCTCAGTTATGCCTCATATCATATTGAGTCATAATTATTCCTCTAGTTACAATAATATTCAAGATTTCAAATATCATATGTGTATTATGATAGCAATTTAGAGGGAATAATATAGGCATCATTGAGTAGCTCATATTATATGATAAATTATAATTGCGCCTCTAGTTGCAATAGCATTCAATATTTCAAATATCACATGTGTATTATGATAGCAATTTAGAGGGAATTAGAGTCATCATTGAGTAGCTCATATTATATGTTAAACTATAGTTGGTCCTCTAGTTGCAATAGCATTCAATATTCCAAATATCACATGTGTATTATGATAGTAATTTAGAAAAAATTAGAGTTACTCTCAGTTATGCCTCATATCATATTGAGTTATAATTATTCCTCTAGTTACAATAATATTCAACATTTCAAATACGACATGAATATTATGATAGTAATTTAGAAGGAATTAGAGTCATCATTGAGTAGCTCATATTATATGTTAAACTATAGTTGGTCCTCTAGTTGCAATAGCATTCAATATTCCAAATATCACATGTGTATTATGATAGTAATTTAGAAAGAATTATAGTTATCCTCAGTTATGGCTCATATTTTATTAGCTCATAATTATTCCTGTAGTTACAATAATATTCAAGATTTCAAATATCATATGTGTATTATGATAGCAATTTAGAGGGAATAATATAGGCATCATTGAGTAGCTCATATTATATGATAAATTATAATTGCGCCTCTAGTTGCAATAGCATTCAATATTTCAAATATCACATGTGTATTATGATAGCAATTTAGAGGGAATTAGAGTCATCATTGAGTAGCTCATATTATATGGTAAACTATAGTTGGTCCTCTAGTTGCAATAATATTCAACATTCCAAATATCACATGTGTATTATGATAGTAATTTAGAAAGAATTATAGTCATCCTCAGTTATGGCTCATATTTTATTAGCTCATAATTATTCCTCTAGTTACAATAATATTCAAGATTTCAAATATCATATGTGTATTATGATAGCAATTTAGAGGGAATAATATAGTCATTATTGAGTAGCTCATATTATATGATAAATTATAATTGCGCCTCTAGTTGCAATAGCAGTCAATATTTCAAATATCACATGTGTATTATGATAGTAATTTAGAGGGAATTAGAGTCATCATTGAGTAGCTCATATTATATGTTAAACTATAGTTGGTCCTCTAGTTGCAATAGCATTCAATATTCCAAATATCACATGTGTATTATGATAGTAATTTAGAAAAAATTAGAGTTACTCTCAGTTATGCCTCATATCATATTGAGTCATAATTATTCCTCTAGTTACAATAATATTCAACATTTCAAATACGACATGAATATTATGATAGTAATTTAGAAGGAATAATAATCATCATTGAGTAGCTCATATTATGATAGTAATTTAAAGGGAATAATAATCATCATTGAGTAGCTCATATTATATGTTAAACTATAATTATTCCTCTAGTTACAATAGCATTCAACATTTCAAATATCACATGTGTATTATGATAGTAATTTAGTAAAAATTAGAGTTACTCTCAATTATGCCTCATATTATATTGACTCATAATTATTCCTCTAGTCACAATAATATTCAACACTCCAAATATCACATGTGTATTATCTAAATTATTATCAGTCATGATACACATGTGATATTTGAAATTTTGAATATTATTGTAAGTAGAGGAATAATTCTAAATTAATATCATGGAATTTTCATTGGAATGTTAAATGTTATTATAACTAGAGGACCAACTATAGTTTAATATATAAAATGAGCTACTCAATGATGACTATATTATTTCCTTCAAATATCACATGTGTATTATGATAATAATTTAGAGGGAACACTATAGTCTATAATTTCTCTGTTTTCCTATTATTCATGCATCACAGTCAAAGGGTTAAAAATCGAATTACAAAACGAGCTTACCAATTAATTATTTAATTAAAATTGAATAGAAAATTGAATAAAAAATATATCAAATTGAAAATTGAATGAAAAATATATCAAATTGAAAGTTGAATAATAAATTGAACAAAATTGAAAATTGAATAAAAAATATATCAAATAATTTCTCTGTTTTTTTTTTATTATTCATGCACTGCAGTCAAAGGGTTAAAAATCGAATTACAAATTAATCAAAGAAAGGTGAAAGAAAAATAGCGTTCGTTGTGGTCAGAGAAAATAGGTTGCAACGTTTAATCGAGGACGATCCCAACGGTGGTTCGTTAACGATTTCAGATGCTCTTCTCGAGGACTTGCAAACAAGTGTCTCGAGAAGTGCCACCCCGAGTCGAGGAGGCGTGGCACCGTCGTCCCAAGTGGAGTATCGCGTGGCTGCAAATCCCACGAAAGTGGTATCCGAGGCCAGGTGAGCGAACACGAAAAAGAAAAATGTACCTTTCAACGTTTCGACGGGGGCAAACAAAAAAAAAAAAATTCGATTTCAGACCCATTTCGCCGTCGCGAACGATGACCACCACCACGGAGAAATACGTGAGCAGTGGACCAAGTGGCGCGACCAGTGGCATACCCGGTTTAGAGTTCATCGATTCGGAATTGCAAAACGTGAGTCCCACAAAAATATATTGATCTAACTTGGGTCTTGTTTGTCTAATTTTTTGTGCTAGAAAACGACTTAATGGAAGTGTTTCAATGTTTGTTTGGGGGGTTACTTACGAGGGGATGATTGGTAGCTAGATTGTAGGGGTTTGTGTATTTATAGGACAATTTTTTTAATTTATTTTTGTGTAATTTTTAATTTGTGGGAAGTGTTATATTTGGGGGTTGAAACAACCCTCTAGAAAGCTTCCATTTTACTGTTTTTGTTATTAACACTTTACCGACCGGTAGCCTATTAATCGACTTTTTACCGACCAACGCTTTACCGACCGATAGTCGATAAATCAGTTTTTTTTACCGCTCAACACTTTACCGACCGGTAGCTTATTAATCGGTTGTCATGAAAATAAAAAATATCACTAGATTTAATTAAAATGTAATAGCAGAAAGAGACCAATATAGTAACCACTGTCGCAAAGTTTCTTTAATATAGAAAATACGTAAAGAAACGAATTATTATATTTGGGGATTGATAGAACCCTCTATAAAGCTCCCATTTTACTGTTTTTGTTATTAAAAATCTGAATTTGCATAAAAATCCACTCTCTAGTAACTATAGACAAACTTAAGTATTTTCGATTCTAATGCAGCCATATTGAAAATCTACACAATGCATTTAATATAAAAAATAAATAAAGATACGAATTATTATATTTGGGGATTCGGAAAACCCTGGGAAAAATTTTAATGAGGGATTCCAGAGGCCAAAATAAGACGAAAATCAAGAATACCAATTTGTTGATGGAGGCTTCCTGAAAAAGTTATTAACAATTAAATTCAAAAATTTCAAGTCGTTCTGGAAAAATTTTTTTCTCGAAAATGCGCAGGATTTCAGGGGTATTTGTAACGACCAAAAATGATTGCAATCGACCCCTGCAACCGAAAATAATTTTTTTAGAATGATTTGAAAAATTTTAATTTCATCGAAATATTTGTCCATTTACTGAATTTTTTTTCTCGAATTTAATACACAAAATACATAATGATACGAATTATTATATTTGGGAGTTGATAGAACCCTCTACAAATCTATTTCATAATTTCAATTAACAAAAACAGTAAATTAGCTTCGAGATCCACATTCTATTTCTGATAACTCCTCAACAACGATATTATAAACAAATTTTAAATTACTTTGCGTTTGTAGTAGTTATTGAGACACGCTGATGGAGATTACGATTAGATTGCTAGACATTCAATATACATGCGATAGTAAGATCGAATGCAGTCAATCGTTACATTAAATTACACGTTCGCCAGGGCTAGAAAACCGTGACCCGGTAGAATTTACGATCGTATTTATCGCTACAGTCGTCGTGTTAAATGCATAGTAATTGTTCATTCAGCCTATCTCCATACAGACACGAGTAATCGGAATATCGAACGGTATTAAAGGATAGTAGGTAGATAATTGCATATAAGTGCACTGCATATTCAGCTTGCGCATAACCAGTTGCAATGGCCAGCAAACTTTCCTGTGTACGTTCAAGTTGTTTATGTCAGAGTCCAGCAGGGGAGGGTGGAACGTCGATCATCGAAAATAATTGGGAGACAAAGCCACCAATCTCTGGTTACAAAGATAATATGCATTGAAAGTGCACTTCTTCAAATAAAAGAATATCAATTTTAAAAATATTACTTTGAAAACATAAATTACTTATGCAAGGTATCTAATAAAAATAATATGAATTGGAACCGTACTTCTTAAGATAAAAAAAAGTAATATAAATTTTAAAATAAATATTACTGTAGGTGGAGAAATAAACAACAATCATATCTTACAGAATAAAAATAATATAAATTGAACGGTACTTTTTAAGATAAAAGAAGTAATAAAAATTTGAAAAATATTACCGTAGTTGAGGAAATAAATTACACATGTATATATGTATACTAGCATGCCCTGTCTCGGCTTCGTTCGACCTTGTAAAAAGCAATTTATGACCAGACGATCGTCCTGACATATATATCCGCGATAATGCAATTCACTCGCGAGAAAGCGCTGGAGAAGTTTCGCCACCTGGCGGTAACTCGCAGTACTGCTACGGGCGAGGTATCGCGCGGGCCGAATATGCGCATGCGCGCGCAAGTAGTCACGTGGCCTGCCAAACAGTCGTACACATGAAATGTTTGCATATAAATTACATGTTAATAACGCGCTTCTGAGGCATGCTACATAGCCTATGCCCGTCCTCGAGTATGCAGAAATAACGTGTCAAAATTTGAGAAAGATCGGTTCAATAGTTCTTGAGTTATGCGCGAACATAAAAATCGGCTCTCTCTTTATATAACAGTATATTCATTCTGTATAAAAAAGTAGTATAAATTCAGACGAGCATTCAATGCATATGGGAGCCCCCCACTCGACACGAATAGTAATTCCACTCGATGTTATTCATTCATTACAAAGATTCACCAGCTATTTATAGCATACTCTTCCAATGCAGTCGAACACAACCACACGCGTTTATTAATTATAGTAGCTAGTCGAGACTAGCGCAGAGAAGCCTACGATGATGGACAAGGACTCCTATAACAGGTTTCCCCATTAGCATTCAAAACGCAATTAATGAATTTTTTGCTTCAGGTGCAGCCTGGCCAAAGCAAAACGATTGCATACAAACAAGTGTCGTACCAGTACAACAAGAATCTCGATGGAAAGCCAATCGGTAAGTTTTTTAAATTGTTTCGGTATTTTTATTATTGTGGAAAATGTTTGGAAGAGATTGGTGGAAAAGGATTGGCTCTGAGAGTGAAAATAGAGTTGCAGTCGAGGCAGGTTGATGTCTCGGGACTAGTTTTTGGTAAAAAGTATTACGTTCGTGACGGGAACACGCCTAATATGCTGCTACCTTCGACCGTGTGTCGAGAGGAATCGCGCGCAGGCGCGTGTTTTGAACGATCGTGGAAGGTAGGGGAGAGCTTGGTCACTCGTGTCGCTCCTTTTAAGGCGCGGAACGGCCTTGCAGATATACTGTTAATTAACAATGAGAACGACGAAACTAGGGAGGCTCGATATCTCGCGAGAAAATCAATTCTCGCGATCGTGGACCTCGAAAACCTTGCAATTTTGGCAACGTGATATTTATTAATTAACGTTAGGTTGGGAAACACAAACTCGACGCTTCAGAGACCTCACACGGGATTTCTATTTTTTTATAATTTTTCGATACAGAATCCATTTTGTTGGGAAGAATAATTTAAAAAAATCGATTTTTGGATTGTGGACTTGAAATTTAGGGAATAAGCAATTTATTAATTAGTGTTAGGTCGAAACTTGATTTTTAGACTCGTGAAATACGAATTCGAAAATTTCAGAGCCTAACACCCCCTTGGAATTTCTATTTTTTCCTAGTTTTTCGATGCAGAATCCATTTTGTTGGGAAGAACAATTTAAAAAAATCGATTTCTGGATTGTGGACTTGAAATTTAGGGAATAAGCAATTTATTAATTGGTGTTAGGTCGAAACTTGATTTTTAGACTCGTGAAATACGAATTCGAAAATTTCAGAACCTCACACCCCCTTGGAATTTCTACTTTTTCCTAGTTTTTCGATGCAGAATCCATTTTGTTGGGAAGAACAATTGAAAAAAATCGATTTCTGGATAGTGGATTTGAAATTTAGAGAATAAGCAATTTATTAATTAGTGTTAGGTCGAAACTTGATTTTTAGACTCGTGAAATACGAATTCGAAAATTTCAGAGCCTAACACCCCCTTGGAATTTCTATTTTTTCCTAGTTTTTCGATGCAGAATCCATTTTGTTGGGAAGAACAATTTAAAAAAATCGATTTCTGGATTGTGGACTTGAAATTTAGGGAATAAGCAATTTATTAATTGGTGTTAGGTCGAAACTTGATTTTTAGACTCGTGAAATACGAATTCGACACTTTTAGAGGCCTCACATTTTAGAATTTTTATTTCCTTTTCTATTTTTTTCGATGAATTTTGTTAGGAAGTAAAGTCTCAATAAATTCTCTGAGAAAATTAAATTATTTAAACAGAAAATTTTATTGGAGTCATGAAAGATACTTTGGATAATAGACCTGTGATTTATTAATCACTATTGGGTCGAAACCAGATTTTTAAATTCGTGGAACACACACAATTCTCATTTTTATAGGAAGTAAAATCTAAAGAAAATTTAACCTGAGTCATGAAAGAGATACTAAATTGTTGCTTTACTTGAATTGATAGTTCCAAGGTTTATAAAAAATTGATAATAATAACAACTAAATGGACCGTGGATACACATACGTGAAATGTTGAATTTCAGGCATACGGGGATTATGTTAATAAGTATGCATTATGCAAGGCGAGTCGCGGGCGCTGTAAATGTCGAGACTGCTGAAATTCCGCGAGAGTACGATAAACTATGATCAGAAGTAACACGGCACCGCCATTATGCGGAGAAGATTTCCGCGCTGAGTCCCGTCTCTCTATATGGAAGTGACGTAGAGACCGGAGTGTGTTGTTCGCGGTAACACGCGATACAGAACCGTATCCATATTAGGGCTGCGTACAACAGAAGGTTGACCCGATTTCTCCGTCCCTCTACCGCGCTCTGAAAGAGAAAATAAAAACACGAAATATCTCGACGAACGGTAGGAAGGACGAAATGGTCAACATCGAGGCGCGAGGATGACCATTGCCATCGGGTCACCGGGTGACGGTCGTTCGCCAGAATTCTAAACCACCCCCTCTTTATATAGAATTATTGAAAAGCCTTCTGAGAACCCCTGTTCATTTTTTATTTCCATTTTTTCTTTATTAGAGCTTGAAGTGAATTTTTTTAGATTTTCGAGAATTTTTTGTGAGTAAACTGTGAGGTCTTCATAAGTCAAATTTATAGGGTTTAATTGTAGATATTGAAGTGATACTTTCAAATTTTTTGAGGCAAAAATAGTTAAAATTGAAGGCACTGTATATTTTCAAACATACTAGTGCATTTCATACTAGTGCATTTTTGTAGACTTTCTTGAGGAATTTTTTGTCAATAAACTATGAGACCTTTTCCAACCAAATTTACAGAGTTTAATTGTAGATATTGAAGTGATACTTTCAAATTTTTTGAGGCAAAAATAGTTAAAATTGAGGGCACTGTATATTTTCAAACATACTAGTGCATTTCATACTAGTGCATTTTTGTAGACTTTCTTGGAGAATTTTTTGTCAATAAACTATGAGACCTTTTGCAACCAAATTTACAGGGTTTAATTATAGATAGTGAAGTGATACTTTCAAATTTTTTGAGGCGAAAATAGTTAAAATTGAGGGCACTGTATATTTTCAAACATAGACGATTATAAAATGCAATAATATGAAGTGCATTTTTTTAGACTTTCTTGGAGAATTTTTGGTGAATAAACTATGAGACCTTGAGCAGTCAAATTTACAGGGGTTATTTGGATATATTTCAGGGGCGTATACGAATTTTTTCGACGAGATCGAGTCAAAATTGGAGGCACTGTATAATCTCAAACATTGTCGATTTTAACACTAGATTTACGGAAGCCGTCAATTTGACGGATGCCAGATTCCATATTTAAAATTGTAGAACGCGTAAATATTAATTTTTAACAACTTACGTTGAATTTGCTTGATGCAATGGCATGAATGCATATTCTAATTAAAAGAAAAATCGTATTTTATGATAATCGTCAACACGAAAGGTATCAATAAATATACGCGCGATCAATGCCCGTAAATCTAGTGTTAAAATGCACTTGTACGAAGTGCATTTTTTGTAGACTTTCTTGGAGAATTTTTTTTGAGTAAACTATGAGACCTTTTGCTGTCAAATTTACAGGGCTTATTTACACATACTTCAGTGGGTATATACGAATTTTTTCGACGAGATCGAATCAAAATTGGCAACACTACATAATCGCGAACATTAACGATTTTAAAATGCACTAGTACGAAGTGCATTTTTTGTAGACTTTCTTGAGGAATTTTTTTTGAGTAAGCTATGAGACCTTTTGAAGTCAAATTTACAGGGTTTAATTATAGATATTGAAGTGATACTTTCAAATTTTTTGAGGCGAAAACAGTTAAAATTGAGGGCACTGTATATTTTCAAACATAGACAATTATAAAATGCATTAACATGAAGTGCATCTTTTTAGACTTTCTTGGAGAATTTTTTGTGAGTAAACTATGAAACCTTTTGAAGTCAAATTTACAGAGTTTAATTGTAGCTATTGAAGTGATACTTTCACATTTTTTGAGGCAAAAAAAGCTAGAATTGAGGGGGCACTGAATATTTTCAATCATAGACGATTTTAAAATGCATTAATATGAAGTGCATCTTTTTACACTTTCTTCGAGAATTTTTTGTGAGTAAACTATGAGACCTTTTGAAGTGAAATTTGCAGGGTTTAATTACAGATATTTAAGTAATACTTTCAAATTTTTTGGGCCAAAAAAAGTCAAAATTGAGGGCACTGTATATTTTCAAACATAGTCTCAAAATTAAAGGAGAAAACTCGATAATAACAATAATGACAACGCTTCGAATTTAAATTAAAAAAATATATAAAACCTACAAATTTTGAGTTGATTTTGATAGGAACTATAGTCATACATAAACTGAATATGCATCTAAAATTTAAAATCAATTGATCAAGTAGATTTTGAAATACGAACAAAAAAAGATCGATTTTTTCAATGATTCTCACTAAAATACCGCAATAATGAATTCAATTTTCTTTTTCTATTCTACAGATACGTGGACAACAACGGACAATGCGTTGCCTAACGCTAGCTCGGCCTTGATGTGAGTACAATTCTCTCTTGTAGAACACTTGAAAATATCACGCCTGTCTGAATCGTTGCCAAGAAATTCATACGTAGATCCATACTTCCCACCAAAAATAGAAACCAATACAAATCAAAATTCATGCATAAAATCCTGAATTTCGATTATTTCACTGTCATAATATCATCAAATCCAAAAAATAATTCTCTCTTAAATTTCACAGCGACAACATTCGCGAAAGGACGTACGAAGAAAGCACGATCCATCGAGGCTCGGAACCTGCTAGCAAAACATTCAACAGAGAACTAGTGAGCACTTTTCATACTCAAAACATAGTAACTCGTGACATAATAATCGCAAAATTTTAATTTCAGGTATACAACGATGGTTCCACGCCTCGTTCGAAACAGACCTCGCCTCTGCCTGGCGTCCAACAGAGAGACGTCAAATACATTCACGAATCTTCATGTAAGTATGTCTTAAAAGATCGTCTACTTTCATACAGAGCAATTTAACAGAGTTTTTCGAGTTCTCACCTGGGCTATTTAAACATTCAAGGCTACCAAACGGAACCACCACCGTTCCTGACCACGGGGACCCCAAACGCCGCTCAGGAATACGGAAACACGGAGTACATACCGGTGCCATCGCCAACGCCAACGATACCGATCAACCTGGCACCGGGACCCAACACGAAAGTCACGACCACGATCAAAACATACACCTACGAGCTACCAGGAGCACCTGAGACGTATCTACCGGGTGGCGGTGTGCCAGGAACAGTTGTGCTCCCAGGTGACCAAACGATCACCTACACGTTACCCAAAGGCGCCAGCTCCACCACGGATAAAACGGTCACCTACCAAACGGTGACTGAAAACGTTCCACCCAGGACACCGATCAGGTACGGAAGTCCACCTCTGGTGACTGACATCACGAAGAAGTCGACGACCCTGCACCAGGAATCGAAATTCTTCAGAGAAGAGCACCTCGGAGGCCAGCCAGGCCAACCGACTCCGGTTGTCTATCACTCTGATCCGCCATTGCAGACCACGCTCACGCGAAACGAGAAGTACTACCAGGTCGAGGGTAGCTACCCTAACGGACATGGCCCTGGTGATCGACCAGACTACCCGGGAACGACTGTTATTTATCAGAATCAACCACCCACGATAAACGAGACACACACCACGATTAATCGGATCGAGGAACATTATCCCAGCAGGTCGCCACCTGGTGGTCGATACGTGACACCTGAGAAACCGGGAACACCGGTTAATTATTACACTGTGACGCCACAGGCCACCCCACCGCAGTCGAACACGACTATATATAAGTTTTCTAATACGACCACGACTGTACCCCCTAATAAGAATGCTGAGGACCATGAGGTGTTGCTACCAAAACCATTTCCGGTCGGTGGGGTTCAAGTCTGCCCCCCTAAGCCTGCTACGATTGAGCAAACTCCGCCGAAAAAGTTGGAAGACCTTATGGCATCCTTCTCTGACTCGGAGGTACGTGAAGAGTTTAGTATTATGGGGAAAAGTGGTTTTTTTTTTTTTTGGTTCTTAGAATTTGTAAATATTCGTCACTAAAATACGCGTTGTTTGTATTTTGAAATATTAAAATCCTTTAATTCGTTGGGGAGTTATGAGTTTTTTAAAGATATGATTGAAATTTTAGGGGAATCAGACATTTTCGGTAATGAATTTTTTTTCTCGAAAGTGAGTAGGATTTCGGGGGTATGTGTAATGACCAAGAATGATTGTAATTGACCTCTGTAGCTAAAAATATTTTTTTTAGAATGATTTGGAATTGTTTAATTTCGTCTAAAAATTTCAGTAACGACTCGAATTTTTTTCTCGAAATTGAGTAGGATTTCGGGGATATGTGTAATGACCAAGAATGATTGTAATTGACCTCTGTAGCTAAAAATAATTTTTTTAGAATGATTTGTAATTTTTTAATTTGACCGATTTTTGGAGAATTTTTTTCTCGAAAGTGGTTAGGATTTCGGGGGTATGTCTATTCACCAAAAATGATAATAATCGACCCCCACAACTAAAAATAATTTTTTTAGAATGATTTGAAAATTTTTTTTTTCGCCGAAAAATTTGGGCATTTATTTGAATTTTTTTCTCGAAAATGCGTAGGATTTGGAGGGTATGTCTGTTCACCGAAAATGATTGTAATCGACCCCCTCAACTAAAAATATTTTTTCTAGAATGATTTGAAATTTTTTTTTTCGTTGAAAAATTTAGGCATCTATTTGAATTTTTTTCTTGAAAATGCGTAGGATTTTGGGGGTATGTCTGTTCACCGAAAATGGTTGTAATTGAACCCCAAAACTGTAAATAATTTTTTCAGAACGATTTGCAATTTTTTAATTTCGTCGAAAAATGTAAGCACCTACCCGGTGTCGATTTTTCATAAGAATTCATTTTCAATTTTTAATAAATTTGTTTGACGCGCTACGGAAATTTTGTCTAATACTTTTCTGTAGGTACCCATGAGCTCTACTTCAGAAAAAAGTTTCATTGAAATATATTCACTATTGTAAGAGTTATGGCTGTTTGAAAATTGAACCATTTTTATGGAGTTTTTCTAATTTTACGGGGTCAATGATTAACTTTTCGAATATTTTTGGAATTTCTACATATTCTCCACTAAAATACGCGTCGTTTGCATTTTGAAACATTAAAATCGCCCAATCCGTTCAAAAGTTATGACGTTTTAAATATACGCATGCAATTTCGAGGGACGATTTCTGGCCAGAAATTATATTTTCGGTCACGAATTTTTTTCTCGAAACTGAGTAGGAATTCGGAGGTATGTGTATTCACCAAAAATGATTGTAATTGACCTCTCCAACTAAAAATAATTTTTCTAGACTGACTTAAAATTTTTTAATTTGACCAATTTTTAAAGAATTTTTTTCTCAAAAATGCGTAGGAATTCAGGGATATGTCTATCCACCAAAAATGATTATAACTGACCCCCTCAACTAAAAATAATTTTTTCAGAACGATTCGAAATTTTTTAATTTTGTCGAAAAAGGGGACAACCCTCCATCGATTTTTCTTAACAATTTTTCATTTTTAATCATTTTGTTTGACGTCCTATAGAAAAATTGTCTAATACTTTTTTGTAGGTATTCATGTGCTCTACCTCAGAAAAAAGTTTCATTAAAATATATTCACTATTGCAGGAGTTATGGTCGTTTGAATATTGTACCCTTTTTATGGGGCTTTTCTCACTTCTCTACCTAACAAAATCAGCACCAAAGAAATATTATACGTAGCAAAGTCCACGAGTAATACATTTGTTATCAATTTCCAGCGCGAAGTACTAGAAAACATCGAGAAAAGAGAAAAAGGACAACAAAAAGAATCACCGAACGTTAAAAAGGAAGTCGACTTTCTGCCCCACACACCGCCCAAAGTAAAAAGCAAAAATGTTGCTGGGCCTCCGGTCTACTATCCCCCTGGGTCAGGAGAATTCACCAAAAAGGAAGAATCTAGCGCAGCAATGTCGCAGGCAAGCGTAAGTCTCCATCCTGTATGCAATAAAATTTCAATCAATTTACATAAAATAACCATTAGATACATACTCATGTTTTAAAATGGCCGTCTGTAAAGATTTAATTCCCAGAACACTTACCTGCCATGTCTGACAATTCAGTCTCGAACCTGTGACAACTTGAGGAACAACACTACACTTTGAACCGAATTTCTATTGTTTATTTTGCACTAAAATTTTTAAACTTTCATAAACGGCGATGTATTATAAATTTTATCGATAATCGCCATTTTTCTTTTATAGGGAGGATGGCAAAAGGCTAGCGCAAAATACGAATACGAAGCATCCAGCAAGAGCAAATCGAAAACCAAAAGCGGGGGGGCTGTGGTCCCCGTTTGCCTGCCCCTTTGTTGCGCCATGCCGTGTGTAATTATATAACCTATTGCAAGATTAATATAAAATCGTATCGATCGGCGATATTAACACTTTACCGACCGATAGCCTATTAATCGACTGTTTTACCGGCCAACGCTTACCGACCGATAGCCTATTAATCGACTGTTTTACCGGCTAACGCTTACCGACCGGTAGCCTATTAATCAACTGTTTTACCGGTCGACGTTTACCGACCGATAGCCGATTAATCAACCGCTACCGGTCGGTAAAGTGTTAACAAAAAAATCCATATTTAATAGCTCGAACGAAAAAAACACGTCTGACTTAATCAGTCTTCCGTTACTCGAGTATGTTAAAAAGCAAAAATGAATCTTTAGCGTAGTAAAGAATCTTAGAAAGATGTACAAATGGCGAGTAGAAAAAAAAAATAGACGATTAAAAAATTGTTACAATTCCAGTTCAAAGCAAAAGTAAAAAGAAAAAATATCGTAATTGTACAGTCGATAATTGTCATAATGACGTCTGTTTTAATTGCATATAACATAATTACACAATCATTTAAATTCTCCAATACTCGTCTTTGTCACTCATTAAATTATTCTAACGATGTAAAGTAGCTTTTCTATGTAACATCGAGTGTATATTGCTGCATATATTAGACATTGTTTAATATCTTACTATATTTTCATTCTGTTGTATCTACTATAAATTAAAAGATTTATTTATTTTTCTTTTCTTCGTTAAAAAAAATACTTTTAACGTTTGTCCGTAAGTTCTACCAATTTGTTATATATAGTATCATACTTATATTTATATATGCTTATATATTGTTAAAAATCACTTGGTTTTTATTAAAATTTTTATCTTAAAAGTGTTTCCGAGAGTTTAGGGTAACAAAGTATAGAGAGTAATGTGCCAAGACAATTTTCTATAAATAATTTCGTTAATGTATATCTTTTTTTATCGTTCTATTATTAAAACAATATTATATGTACAATATATTAGCAAGTATACACAATTATGCTTTAAATAATAACTATCTATATACCCACACGGAGTTTTACACCCGAAAAATATTTGTACTATATTCAAATTTCAGTCTACCGCATACTTAATAAATCGAGCGTTCGCCGTGCCTAAAAATGTAAAATAATATTAGCGAAACACTTTCAGTAGCTTAGAGCGACTTTACTATAAATAAATTTAAGCGAATAGTCACAAAGCCAAGTGTCTTTTACGAATCGTAATTAAAATTATAATTTTAAGATAATACTGTGAATTATGGTGCTATAATAATTGTAGTGAATACAAAGCATGTAATTATAATGCACGCTTGTGTATTAAAAAATACATGTATACGAATACTGTCTTTAAATATATGTAAAAATTGTGCCATGTCGATACATATAAAGCGTGTAAACAGATAATAGCAGCTTCTACTTTAATAAAGTGTCCACTCCGTCGATATATCCGATTTTATCTTTATTTTTCCATCGTCCATACTTTAAAATACAGTCTTATCACTAAATATCAAATTGTATTATAGCACATTGGTAGGGATCTCTTTAATAAAAATATACAGCGTACACAGTAGCCACACAGAATATTGTGTCCTGAAAAAAAGTTAAACCTATTGGATGTATCTGACGACGCTATAAATAAGGATAAAATATTATCAAAGTGCTCGATTTTATATTTTAATAGGGATATCGTAGATTCTATAAGATTCTAAATGTTTTTTTAAACAATGTTTCATTCAAGTTGAGTCAAAAACCTAATAACAATAAAGACACAGATACGTTCTTTGTATTTCATTAAGAATTCTACTACTTCAATTGCAACGACCTGTATGTATTATACCGTTGCCTAAATAAAGGATTTGTGCGATGAATTTAAATATTAAAATTGATTAGAATGTTCCTTACATTTATAAAACTATCATAAGCATATGTATCTGCTTCTGCGTCCCAAATACATCTCGTACCCATTTTTATCCCTGCACCATGTTGCTCACCCAAAACCACATTTACGATATATTTGTAACGTTTGAACTTTAACTCTAAAAGTATACAAGAGATCATTTAACGCTCCGAATCGCCTCCTAAAAGTTAATTTTAATCCGAAATACCCGATTCGCAGAAAGAAACTTCACCTTTAACTTTCTCTCTAATTATATCTGCTATATCTTTGGTCCATTGAACAGCTTCTTGGCTGTCGTACGTTTTCGCAGAGAGCTGATCGAACAATACATTATGTATAACTTCTTTAGCACTTAAGGGTTTAAACCTGTGTTTAAATTTTTTAAACAATTTATAAATATATAGACACGGACAAATTTTATCAGATACTCCAATTTTTCAATTATATCGAAGTTGATGTGGTACCAACTTAAATGTTGATACTACCTTAATACAATTTAAAATAAATATACGAGCGTAGAAAGTGAGGTTATGTTAGTAAACTGTATGTCCTTCCTAAGCATTTTATTAAAGAAACGTAAAAGAAGACACAATTTAACGGTGTAAAATATAAATGTAAATGAAGTAAAGTACTTCTCGTGTAGCTGTGGTCGTATTTGATAAACTGGTTGTTGAGAAGGCGCAGTCTCAGGGACTTCGAGGATCTCTAATTTCACCTGCGATTTCTCCTCTTCCTCGACATTTTCTACCGGCAATTCGTTAGCTGACTCTAACGAATCCTTGATCTCAATGTTTTCCTCCATTTATCCGAGTTTTATGCGCGTTTTACAAAGATAATCTCTTGTTGCACTTCACTGAGGTTATGACACGTATTGAATCGAATTCGGACCACAGATGGCGCGCGAGATCACTGATCGTGATTCCAAACTCACGATTGTTGTAAATAAAATTAAATCACGACTATATTTGTGTATTTGAGTGAAATATTTTTTGTAAAATACTTCAATTTATTTTGCATATAATATAAAATCGAAATTACTTCCCATTTTTTGTATATGACAATATTAAAAATAAAAAGTAATCCATTCCTCTCAGTTCCTCCATCTTTAATCAGTATTTTGAAGAGTAGATGTTTAGGAAACAAAAATAGAAATATAAAATATATCTGTTTTGAAAGGGGTAGATATATTTGATTTACAGTTATAATTTAAGTTGTTATACTAGCATATATGCTTTTGTTTACTTCATTAGTAATTCTCACGTCATTTCACTTTTAATTGCTATAATTAACATTATAATGCAATTTACGCGTTCCTCGTTCGTCTGGATCAATACATACAATATGATGTTATCTCCATTTATTGATCAGGAATCATGTGAATGTTTATCTTACAAAATGTATTACGAATTCGCTGCAACGTTTACAGCAATTCGTGAAGCGTTCTAGCTACGTTATACTTTGCAACTGCAACCCGTCTTATCATATTCTTCATTAATAGTGATAACATATCTTCTTGGCAAGAAGAACGAATCTCTCGAAGAATATACGTGTTTTGGAGGCCTTCGATTTCGGATACTGTCGTCGGGTCAAAGAACATGAACTAGTCCCAACAAATGAAGACACCGATTGCTCTTATATTTAACAGAACGGAAAATCCGAGCAATTTACTGAACGCGCAACGATTGCGTACTTCGAGCAATTTCGATCCAAGCCGGTCGTTTTCAAATCAAAAATTCCCGCTTAATACTCGCCCTTGAACCCTAACAAGGCTTACAGCAACACACCACGAAATTCTCGTCGTCGATTATGCGGTACTGGTAGTTCTTGTAAGTGGTGAAATCCGATTCACGTAATTGATTCACATGGTTGTAGATCTTTTTGATTACTGGCGGGAAACTCGGGACGTTTGCGATCGCAGCTATTTCATCGTAATACGCCCACTGTCTCTCCTTCAGTTTAATGATGTGCCTCGACTAGAAAAACGGGAGAATAATCCTTTTTTCCATTAACATTTCAGACGTTAAAAATATTTATAGAAATTAGTTATTCATACAAAGATATATGTGCATGCTGTTATTAGGCTAACTCTGAGCATTTTTTAATAATGTTATGACAGTGTCGCGAGCAAGTTCCACTCACATATAGGACCAGTTAGTGCGATTATGTCGGTGTTAGTGTCCCCAACACGGATAAAAAGAACAGCCTAATCGAATCCCAAACAGGCAAACCTCACACAGACGAGACTCCCGAGTACCAGGAATGTTTCGCGATCAAACCTAATGGAAAACGACCCAATAAATACCATCTCTATAAATGTTAATAACGTACCGGGATGCCTTGATCTAATAATGATTTCTTTTCAGCCTCGTATTCGTCGCGCATTTGTTCGTAAGGAGGTAATTTGATATGACCTTCGAGAATACCTAGAATGTACTGTGCTTGTATATGGAACATCGGGAAAGGAATCACTATTCCCGGTAGTCCCATAATAAACAGATTTGGATAATCCATGTGTATCAGGTGTTTGTAAATAGGCTCCACGTGGTTGTCGTCCGTACGCAACTCGACTTTAGCGGACATAAATGGATAAGAAAACTTGTATCCTGAAAACAGTATACGATTGAAATTATAAATATAAATCGAAGGTTTAACGACGATCGCCAGGGTCCTACCGAGGGACAAAACGATCTATTTAGGTTCTACGTGAGAAAATCATAGTTTGAATGATAATATTGAAGATAAAATTCGACAGAGCCCTGACACTCGTTTTCTTATGTATAATTACTGCGTTAACTTAGGATACCTTGATCGCTTATATGTACGAAGTAGATCAAGTCTTTTTACCGGTACAATATATGAAGTTGTCTATTTCAGCCGTGGAACCATCATGGAAAATGAAAATATTCCCTTGAATAGATTCTATTCCGGGCCTCTGCTCCACGTTTGCCAACATTTTCGTATCAACAGGCTCTGGTAGATTGTGGCTTAAATACACCTGCATTGTCAAATAACAGAGAAACAAATTCTATGGTTTTTTTTCATTTTATTAAGGGGGAATTCTCGTGTAACGACATTAAAATTTAAAGTTTCGTGGCGAGAGTATCATCAATGTATTGACGAGATTCTCCCGAGAAAAATGAGTACAAACACGACACCATTCGGATAATTTTTAATTATACGAAATTTAGAATTTGTCAAAATTAGTTTGAGTACGCCAAAATGGGGTAAGAGTGTCATCAATGCATTGGCGAGACTCTTCCGAGAAAAATGAGTACAAACACGACACCATTCGGACAATTTCTAATTACACATAATTTAGAATTTTTAAAAAATATGTTAAGTAAGTCAAAATATGATGAGAGTATTATCAATGTATTGGCGAGACTTTCCCGAGGAAAATGAGTACAAACACGACACCATTCGGACTACTTTTTATTCTACCTCAAAATGTTTTTGAAAAATTTTCAATCATGTGTAATTAAAAATTGTCCTAATGATACCGTGTTTGAACTCGTTTTTCTCAGGAGAATCTCGCCGATACATTGATAATACTTTCATCCCATTTTGGCTTACTCAAACTATTTTTGAAAAATTCTGAATTACGTATAACTAAAAATTGCCCGAATGATACCGTGTTTGTACTCGTTTTTCTCAGGAGAATCTCACCGATACGTTGATAATACTCTCACCACATTTTGGCTCACTCAAACTATTTTTGAAAAATTCTCAATTACGTATAATTAAAAATTGTCCGAATGGTGCCGTGTTTGTACTCGTTTTTCTCAGGAGAATCTCGCCAACATATTGGTAATACTCTCACTTTAATCTGAAAAATGTGAAGAGAAATAAAAAAGGGAACTGTTACACGAGAATCCTTTCTTGAACTCTGTGCCTTTAAAGACATATTCTACGCCGTGCATTCACCTTCTCTGCGTATTGCGAGACCTCGACAGCAATATCAATACCAGACCAAGATGCACCGAGGATGCAAACTTTCTTTCTAGCGTACGCTTCGGGTATCCTGTACTGATGTGAATGTATGCGTCCTCCAGAGAAACTTTCGATACCTGGAATGCGTGGAATATGACCTACAGTGTAATGACCATTGCACAAGACCACGGCGTCGAACGTTTTAGTGATTTCTACGTTGGTCTCCATGTCTTTGTAAGTGATCATCCAGATTGTCTGGCCGTTTCGCAGAGTCTCTGGTTCCACGTGTTTCACCAGTGCGTTGAACTGAGAACGTTACGTTTGTTTCACAAAAATAAAAAATGATAAGTTTTCTAACATCGAACTTTGAATTTTCTTTTCTCAAAAATTTATTCAACGAGGTTGATCTTTACCTTTATATGAGAATACAAGTTAAAATGCTTCGCGTAATCCAAAAGGTACTCCCTAATTACAGTGTGATGAACGAATGACGGACCCTCGTTATTTTTCATTGGAAAATCTGGTATTTGCATAATTTCCCTAGGAAGATTTGTTCTGTAATTTAATAATCAAACACATCGTTAACAATATATCAAAAACATTCCAAAATTTTTTTGTACTCTTAAACAAGTGAATTTCATTTTGGACGAAGCGATAAACACCTTTGAAAATGTTAATTATTAGTGGCAGACGGTTCGAGCAGAACGTTTAAACGGTTTTGTTTTCACGTCACTTGCACGATAATGGCGGTAGTCGTGTTCTAATCGGTCTAGTCTTGTCGCGATAAACTTTGCTGACACGCGATACACTTTTACCAATTACAGACTTTAATTCTATTGACCAACGAAATGTAACGAAGCTAATCACGGCGCTAAGAAACCATGAGAAACCATTTTCCAAAAGGGCTGAGCGAGGACTGACTTTATCTAATCTCCCTTCATAAGTACCCCTAAATTACTCGAAGAATAACTATAGCAGTTACTTAAATTTTCAACGTTTAATTTCTCGAGGAAGACACGAGTGACATTAATAAATATGAAAAGATAAGAGACATATTTATTATCGATACATTAATTTTAATTTTTGTCTTGTTATTTCCAATATTTTTTCTTTGGTGTTTTCGAGGCAATTTTAAGAGTCCCTTTTTCGTAATTGTCAAGCAACGATCGAATCGAATTTGCACAACACTGACCTTAGGTTCTTGTACATGCTACTATGGATTGGTAATCCACGTTTATCGACGTCAGTTTCGTTGGTGTAAACCCACGTCCCGCCAATTTGATCGGTTTGCTCGAACAAAGTGACACTGTAAGTGTCCAGCCTGGCAGCTGTGTGACGAGCAACCACCAATCCGGCCACACCACCGCCAACTATGGCAATTCTCGTTTTGCTACTGGGCATATTTCCTACAGAAATTTTCTCGATACCTATCAAACGGAAGCAAAACAAACCACTTGTTATTTATATTCACAGAGACACTCAGCTACTGCTGGTCTAAGTTTGCGTGGCTCTATGTAAACAAGAACGCATCGAGAATGTCCCTGAGGGGTGTTATCAACCATAACATGCGTTTGATAGTAGCGCCATTAGCCCATCAATTCACTTGACACGAAATCTTTATCCACAGCGTGATAACGTTTTTGAAAAACAGCGATCGTTAAATCCGAATTCCATTCAGGGACGTTCCCTCTTCATTCAACTTTTTGGTATCTCTGACTCCGTTTGACATTCGTGCGTCTCGACTTGATAAATTCGTATGTTTACATTTTGTTATATTATATTTTATGAATGGTACCACGTGTTTATACTACGCGACGCGCGCGGTCATCGCGTTTTCCAATAAAACGAGCTCGCGTCGCGAGAAAAATCATGAACAAAATTGTCTGGAGCAACAAGCATGACTCAAACTGCAATTTTAAAACCATCACTTCTCGGAAATTATTTAATAATATTGAAACGAGAAACGTCAGAAGGCTACTTGTAAATTTTTTAATGAATTTTCGTTATAGATAAATTACTGTCAAAAAAGTAATTAAATGAGATAATTAAATTTGAGATGTCAGTGAACTGTTAATTGATTATTCCAAACTGTTTTACGTGTTCACGAGCGTATGTTCCTGATAAATCTGACGCAACTGTTGGACAAAGTGAACACGAACTTCATCGAGAGTCTGTCCTTTGATTAATATTAAGAAAAAAGAAAAGTAACGAAATATTAGATAGCGTTACGTACAGTATGCGAGATTCTTCGATGTATATCGCGAAGAAAACGAGAGAACAGAGGGTAAGTAATAAACAAAGGAGTAAAACTCGACGTATATCTAATTGACCACCGATATCTTAACGCTCTTTCTGGCTTTCACTTTTCGTTCAAAGACGACGTTCGAGAGGAAGAAAAGAACCAGCGATTATTAGCGCGAGTATGTGTCTATTAGGAGACGTCACCGATCACGATACACTAGAAGGAAACTAATCACCGAAGCGACTCGGTCAGAAGTTGAATTAAGACTGTCTACCCGAAAGCAAGCCGCTTGTTGCAACGACTGTGGCCAAGCTTCCCCTCCGATCCGGTGGCTTACGTAAATACGGAAACGTTTCTTGTAGAAACACACAGTGACACTTAGTATTCGGACACTATAGTGCCCATTAATGCTTTATTTGTACATAAAATCAGTCGTATTGTGCATTCCCGGATAACTGCAATATGCATTCTATGGAGAAATGTTTTTTTTTTAAATAGAGTGACACTTAGCGTCTATTATTGCACTCCTGATCCGTAATTAACACTTTATTTTTATATAGAATGAGTTATATTGCCCATCTCCGGATAACTGAAATATTCGGTCTACGAAAAAGTGTTTTTTTTTCGAAATAGAGTGACACTTAGCGTCTATTATTACACTCCTGATCCGTAATGAACACAGAATGAGTCATATTGTCCATCCCCGGATAACTGAAATATGCATTTTATGGAGAAGTGTTTTTTTTTCGAAATACAGTGGCTATTATTGCACTTTTGATCCGTAATTAGCACTGTATTTGTACATAGAATGAGACATTTGTGCATCCCCGGATAACTGAAATATGTGTTCTATGGAGAAGTGTTTTTTTCGAAATAGAGTGACACTTAGTGTCTATTATTACACTCCTAATCCGTAATGAACACAGAATGAGTCATATTGTGCATCCCCGGATAACTGAAATATGTGTTCTATGGAGAAGTGTTTTTTTCGAAACAGTGACACTTAGTGTCTATTATTGGACTTCTAATCGTAATGAACACAGAATTAATCATATTGTGCATTCCCGGCTAACTGAAATGTGTGTTCTATGAAGAAGTGTTTTTTTCGAAACACAGTGATACTTAGTGTCTATTATTGGATTTCTAATCGTAATGAACACAGAATGAGTCATATTGAGCATCCCCGGATAACTGAAATATGCATTCTATGGAGAAGTGTTTTTTTTTTCGAAATAGAGTGACGCTTAGTGTCTATTATTGCATTCCTGATCCGTAATGAACACAGAATGAGTCATATTGTGCATCCCCGGATAACGGAAATATGCATTCTATAGAGAAGGGTTTTTTTCGAAATAGAGTGACACTTAGTGTCTATTATTGGACTTCTAATCGTAACGAACACAGAATGAGTCATATTGTGCATCCCCTTATATGATAACTGAAATGTGCATTCTACGAAGTATTTCACCACAAATTTTAGTGACTAAAGAGATCCTAGATATTAAAATGAAATATTTTGAATGGAGATTGCCCCATTCCATTGATTTAAGAAGAAAAGAAGAAAACTAATATCATAAAACTCATAATGTCAAATTGACAGGTTCTATAATTATAATATTAAGACAATATTTATTCACAGTTCGTCAAACTTTCAAATCGTTGTATCGAAATATTACGAAAGCACGAGACACCTGGTTTCGCGATTCGATCGTAGTACTGTCAGTTGGAATTTGTACGACAGTTTTTTAAACTGTTTACGGCATGTTTTTTGTATTAATACGGGTTCACGTTACGGCGTACAGTGTTTTGACGCAGTGAGAAAAATTACGAATGAATCTAGAAGCGAATAAATCGAAGAAAAATTTTATTATCGATTATTATGACACTATTTCATAAATTTGATCTACGACAACTTTCCATCATCACAAAATGTAAACAAAGGTCAGAGATGTCTGCAAATAAAACGACTGAATTTCCAGGACTTGAAATTCGATCAATTTTGATAGTCAAAATATTAATATGATTCTAATGATAGAGGAAGTTACTTTTCGAGTGATAAATGGTAATTAACGTTTAATTAAACATAATAACAAGACTATATGGTAGAGGAGCACATTGCAGGCATGTGCAGTGCGTATGTGCACGGTTCAAGAGTCAAAACGATAAAATCTGCATTAATCGCGCGTTCAGACAATTCTAGGCACGCGAACGTTTCCCCACCACTGGACTGTGCAGTCACAGGGTCGCGGATCCGTACAAATGCAAAGCAGTCGGCGAAAGGCGGTCAGAAATAGAGTACTTATGAGTGGCCAGTCGAGTACTCGCTAATGAATTAACCCGCTCACTATGCAGTCAACCTGACACATGATCAGTCAATATTATTTACCATGTAATTACGATTATTAACACTGGAACCACCACACCAATAAAAATTACTGGTTTTATAATTTTATTTTTGTTTTATTTGAAGTCAAAATAATTTCGTGTCGAATTACTTTTGTAAAAAATGAGACCAATTATAACTTTTTTTGTGACCTAATAATTTACTTTATATTTGTATTTTTCATTACACTTATTGTTACTATATTGTGTTTCTATTGTTTACTTTAATGGAAATTAATATTTTTGTTACCCAAAATTCCATAATATGGAATTACTTTTTTTAGAAAGTAATAAATCAATAAATATACAAATATTCTATTACTACGTATTTTTAAAAAAATCATTTTTATTGGTTTTATAATTTTCGTTTCATTTATTTGACATCAAAATAATTTCGTATCGAATTATACTTTTGTAAAGAATGTGATTAATTATAACTTTTTTTGTGACCAAATAATTTACTTTATATTTGTATTTTTCATTACACTTATTGTTATTATATTGTATTTCTTATGTTTACTGTGATGGAAATTATTATTTTTGTTACCCAAAATTCCATAACATGGAATCACTTTTTTTAGAAAGTAATAAATCAATAAATATACAAATATTCTATTACTACGTATTTTTAAAAAATCATTTTGACTGGTTTTTAAACAATTTTGAAAAATTACTATTATAAACCCATTTTGATGAAGATTAGATATGAAGATTATATCGAATATATTTCGAATTATTTCGAATTGTACTGAATTATTTCGAATTATATCGAATATATTGAATTATTACGAATTATATTGAATTATTTCGAATTATTTCGAATTTGTATATTGAATTATTTCGAATTATTACGAATTATATTGAATTATTTCGAATTATATTGAATTATTTTGAATTATTTCGAATTATATTGAATTATATTGAATTATTTCGAATTTGTATATTGAATTATATCGAATATATTGAATTATTTCGAATTATATTGAATTATTTCGAATTATATTGAGTTATATTGAATTATTTCGAATTTGTATATTGAATTATATCGAATACATTGAATTATTTCGAATTATATAGAATTATTTCGAATTATTTCGATTTATATTCAATTATATTGAATTATTTCGAATTATATAGAATTATTTCTAATTATTTTGAATTATTCCGAATTATATAGAATTATTTCTAATTATTTTGAATTATTTCGAATTATATTGAATTATATTGAATTATTTCGAATTTGTATATTGAATTATATTGAATTATATAGAATTATTTTGAATTATTTCGAATTATATTGAATTATATTGAATTATTTCGAATTATATAGAATTATTTCTAATTATTTTGAATTATTTCGAATTATATTGAATTATATTGAATTATTTCGAATTTGTATATTGAATTATATCGAATATATTGAATTATTTCGAATTATATTGAATTATTTCGAATTATATTGAGTTATATTGAATTATTTCGAATTTGTATATCGAATTATATCGAATACATTGAATTATTTCGAATTATATTCAATTATTTCGAATTATTTCGAATTATATTCAATTATTTCGAATTATTTCGAATTATATTCAATTATATTGAATTATTTCGAATTATATAGAATTATATTGAATTATATTGAATTATTTCGAATTTGTATATTGAATTATATCGAATATATTGAATTATTTCGAATTATATTGAATTATTTTGAATAATTTTGAATTATATTGAATTATATTGAATTATTTCGAATTTGTATATTGAATTATATCGAATATATTGAATTATTTCGAATTATATTGAATTATTTCGAATTATTACGAATTATATTGAATTATTTCGAATTATATTCAATTATTTCGAATTATATTGAATTATTTCGAATTATATTGAATTATTTCGAATTTGTATATTGAATTATATCGAATACATTGAATTATTTCGAATTATTTCGAATTATATTGAATTATTTCGAATTATTCCGAATTATATTGAATTATTTCGAATGATTTCGAATTATATTGAATTATAATCACATTGAATTACAATTATATTGAATTCAGATCAATTCTATAGAATTTCTATAGTCCCTTGGCTATTAATTTCTGAAGTATGATGAATATTTGGCCATAATTGTTCTTACAATAACATGGAATTACTTTTTTTAGAAAATAATAAATCAATAAATATACAAATATTCTATTACCACATATTTAAAAAAATCATTTTGTCTGGTTTTTAAACAGTTTTGAAAAATTACTTTTATAAACCCATTTTGATGAAGATTAGAAACATTAGAAAGGTTTAAATAGTACCCAATGTATATAAAATGGTAATTTAACGATGCCAATTTCGATTTATCTCCAAATTAGCGACGTTTCTGTTTTAAGTCTCGTGTTTTGAGATAAGATAGTTTGTTTATATTATGCAACGTGTGATTACTTGACCTAATCTTAGGTGAATCATTTTCAAACTACGAAGTAACGATTCTGCTTTTCAAAAATTGACAAATACTAATAACAATATAATTTTTCAAAAACCATACTCAAACCACTAAGAATTTTGCCTTCCAAAATTATGCTCAAAACACTAACACATTCTGGACACCTTGTATATACGATGGATCATTTTCAACAATTTACAAGCCAATAAATTAAGATTTTTTTGAAACGATCACATGTTTGATTACCGAATGCAATATATATGCAAGCACGCCTAAATGCTAGTGATTTATAGTGGAATCAGATAACTCCAAAGACACTTTATTTACTGCACACGTAACTGGTATCACAGAATTATTATTCTCTCATTATTCTCTAAAATGAAATTTCATTGCACAATTTCGACATTCTG